TAACAAACAAGCCTTTGATTTATCCATCCCAGCTGTGCCACCAGCATAAAATGGCTGATTCACATTTTCTCAGAGAGCTGGGGGGATGGTGGGGAGGGGGGCCACAGGCAGCCCTGAGATCCTACTAGGCCATGTCTCCACCCCGTCACAGAGGTAGTAAAAGGGATTCACAAAGGTTATCTTTATCTCCCCCAGAGCCTAGCAGCTTATAGCAAAGCCAGATCTCCTAAATCCCAGCACTGAGGTATTTTCTCTCCAAAGTACTGAAGCTAGTCACAGGGAAGCAACAGTAAAAATGATGATGAATATTAAGTGACAGTTTTCTATATGTCCAGTACTGGCTTAGGTACTTCACAAGAACATGTCATTTAGTCCTCAGATCAACCTCTTACTATGGTCATTCAGAACTAGTACTACTCTTAATTCAGGTATGAGGAAACAGAAGCATAATGAGATTCAACTTCCACAGGTAGAAGGTGGAGGGGCCGACCCTTGGAGCCCACCATTGTCATCTGCTCCAACCAACCCACTGCCATGCCATTGCGCATACTCGCCGGAGAGCGTAAGCATTTTTCTTATAGCTTTTAATAAAGAGCCAAACATCACTGAGAATTAAACATTTTGACACACCATTCTTAAGAGCCCTGGATTCTCTTGGCCCTCTCAATCCATGCATGCCCCTCCCACCAGCCCCCAGTCTTGAGAGCTGCTTTGAAAGTCCAGAGTCAGTATCAATGATGCCATTATTCATTCAGCCTGACAAATAGGATGGCTTCAGGAAATAAGGATTTCCCCCTCTCCATTTCCCCTATTTCCCACCAGGGAATGAATGCTTCTCTCTTAATGTTTCTATTCACAGTTAAGAACTGCAATTTCTTTTTAAATGAAGGAAAAAGGGAAAATCAAATTAGTATGGAAACCAATCAACTAATCTACAAGTGGTACATTTACTAGGTAGATCATTTGGATGAAATGTTGAGAAAACAGCAACCAAGAAATTATGTTTTGCTAAGACAGTCACAGAATATATACAATAATGAAGATATCTAAAAAATAAAACAAACAAACAAAAACTTTCCCCAAGCTTTGTAAAGAGCCATTACTCTTTGAGCTAAGAGATATTCTTTCTGGGCTAACTGGACATGGTCTTTTGAAGTGTTCATGCAAGTAAACTTCAGGAAATGGTTTTTACTATCAGTATATTACAAATTTTTTTACACTTTTAAGGTATTTCTGAACATATAATGTAGAGCTACAGAAATCTCTTGTTCTGCAACTGAAATTTATCACTGGATTTAATGATTCTACAGTTGGCTGAGAACAGTTTGTGGGTCACAGCTGTAGGGGGGGGAAAGGTCTTGTAACTGGGCACTGGTGGCTCTACCTGTAATCCTCACAAGAGGCTCACAGAGGCTGAGATCTAAGGATGGCAGTTTGAACCTACCCAGGGCAGAAAAGTCTGTGAGGCTCTTATTTCCAATTAACCACAAAAAAACCACAAGTAGAGCTTAAGTGGTACAGTGCTAGTCTTGAGTACAAACGCTCAGGGACACCACCCAGGCCCAGAGTTCAAGCCCTAGGACTGGCAAAACAAAAGCAAAAAAGAAAAAAGAAAAACTTTGTAAAATTTAGAGTGAATTATCCCCAAATGTTGTTTGATAAGCATTTTTAAGTATGTTTTTTATTGTAAAAATAGTGTACAGAGGGGTTACCGTTACATGAGTAAGGTAATGAGTACATTCCCTATCAAGCATTGTTACCTCCTCCTTTGTTTTTCCCCTACTATCCCTTCCCTCCCCACCTCCCCAACTTCCCCCCCCCACCCATTTGTAAAGTTTGTTTTCAACATAGTATCTTGTACATCTCATTGTTACAATGGGTTAACCCTTATCCCTATTTAAGCCTTTTGTTTTTTCCCTTCTCCTCCCAAAATTAGAAAAGTGTATATACAAGATGCAGGGCACCGGAATCAAATACAGTGAAAACAGAGGTTATACCATGGGGGAAGAACATACAAAAGAAACACATAGTACATTATAAATCACATAGTACATTATAAGTACATTAAAAACAATAGCATGAAAGAAAAAAACCACTTGTCCCTGTCTTGGGGTTCATTTCACTTAAGATCATCTTATATGGTCACATGTACATGTCTTTTTACCTTTTCTGCTTGTCCTAGACATACACTAGTTATTGGGCCTGGCTTACTTAGTATAATTTTTTCCACATCTTTCCATTTCCTAACAAATGGGGCAATGTCATTCTTTCTGATGGAGGCATAGAATTCCATTTTATATATATCACATTTTTTTGATCCATTCATCTACTGGGTTGGTTCCATATCTTAAGCTATGGTAAATAATGCTGTGATAAACATAGTTGTGTGGGTAGCTTTAGTATACCTTTGTTTGTGATCGTTTGGGTAAATGTCCAAAAGTGGGATTGCTGGGTCATAGGGGAGCTCTATGGTAGTCTTTTGAGGAACCTCCATACTGTTTTCCAAAGTGGTTGAACAAGTTTACACTCCCCCACCACCATCCCCTCCAGCATCTGTTGCTATTAGATTTCTTGATTATAGCCATTCTAACTGGGGTGAGTTAGAATCTCAATGTTGCTTTGATTTGCATTTCTTTTATGGCTAGAGAGGTTGAGCATTTTCAAGTGTCTATTGGCCATTCTTATTTCCTCTTCAGAGAAGTTTCTCTTTAAATCTTTAAGCATTTTTCTGTTTTTTCTTCCCATGTTATTTTTTCTTAAGGGTTTCCTACACTGAACACAGAATGAACACTGAAAGCATTGTTCTGAGACTTTTTGGTTTCCTGGGTTATATAAGAGGAATTAACAATAGACACTGGCTGGGGCATAGACTGGGTAGTGAGAAGTCACAAGGCCATGTGGTGGGGAGGTACATGGGTTTCCACTACAAACAAACTCTAATGTAGTTCAGAGAGTACAGGTTCTATTCAGTAAATGATGAAGGGTCCTGGAAGATATTTGAGAACTGCATAAGAAGCTTTAGTTGAGAAGACTTATCTGCTGCATCCTGAATAATAGCAATTCAGAAGGTGAGACAGTGGTGGGCTTTGTACAGCTAGAGCATCTGTCCCTATTGGTGTCTGAAACCAAAGGAAATGGTCCACTGGTGTTCTTGATTTAAACCTCAAAGCACACATATCCAGCACACACACACACACACACACACACACTTCTTGATTTAAACCTCAAAGCACACATATCCAGCACACACACACACACACACACACACACACACACACACACACACACACACACACACACACCACATACAGTGCTAAAAATCCAGACAGTGTTCCAGACTTTGTAGAATTTATTACAAGTCCCAAAGGGATGATAAAAAAGACAAATTAATTACAACAAACATTAAAAATGAGCCATTCATTTTCATAAAATACATTACTGAAGTTGCAGGCAGGATGTCTGGAAAGGCTAATTTACTCAATGTGAGCAACTGAAGTAATCTTTCTAGCTCATGATGATTAACTTTTTTTTTGGGTCCGGTTGTGGGGCCTGAACTCTGGGCCTGGGCGCTGTCCCTCAGCTCTTCAGCTCAAGGCTAGCACTCTACCACTTGAGCCACAGCGCCACCTCCGGCTTTTTTCTTTTTGTTTATGTGGTGCTGAGGAATCGAACCCAGGGCATCAGGCATGCAAGGCAAGCGCTCTACCACTGAGCTACCTTCCCAGCCCCATGATGATTAACTTTTGAAAACACTGTCAAATAATTTCCCAACAAGTTCACTTTATGTAGCAAGAAAAGACCTAATAACCAAAAGCTAAGTTTCTGTAAGCATATAACTTTCTCTTATTGTCCAATCTTTTAAAACACACACACATATATATACCCTTTATAATACATATATACAAATATACATATGAGTAAATGTGGTATGCATATGTATTTATTAAGTAAAAAAGTAATTCAGTAAACACTGTTAATGTTATAAGGAGATTCTGAGTCCCCTTGTTATACTCTGAATGAATTATTAGTTCAATGGATCTACTGTGAAAATGCTAACAATAGTCAATAACAATGCATTTTGTTCTTGAAAATCACTGAGGTTTTCAAGTATTCTTAGTACAAAAAATAAGTACAAGAGACAATATGTTAATTAGCTTGATTTAGCTATTCCGCATTATACTATTTAAAAACATATTGTACATGATACTGTTAATTAAAAAATAATTCAAAGAGATAAAACTATACTTCCCTCTTGAACTAAGTGATGACTGATGTTCAGGAGGTCAGAGAGGTGTCACTTAAGGCCATCAGTAATAAAACAGCAGTGAGCTGTGTGTTACATGAGATGGTAATAAATGCTCAAAGACAGAATACCAGCCAACAGGAAGTTGAGAGACATTTCCCTGGGGAACATGTACTTTTGTTCATGTGATCACTGACTGCTTAGGGAACCTAGGGTCTGACAAACCAACATTACCATGCTTTGCTTATGTAAGCAGAGTAGGGCAATTGTTTGACATTTAGTGACAAGAAATGCACAGCAAATTAAGCCTTCATGTGACCATTACAGCAGATACCATTACAACTTGAAGCAATGTGTTCCATCAATTCCCATCTCTGAACATGATACCCCTTTGTAGGTAAAAAATTGGAAACTTCAGGAGGATTCAAACAACTGCTCAAAGATGATTCGAAAATGAATGGTAGGCTTGGTTCTGAAACCAAATTCCTTCCTTCCTTCCTTCCTTTCCTTCCTTCCTTCCTTCCTTCCTTCCTTCCTTTCTTCCTTCCCTGTTGTGCTGGAGATTGAACCTAGGGCCCTGTACATGCTAGGCACGTGCTTTAGCACTGAGCTACATCCCTAGCCTGAAACCAAATCTTATTGACCACCTGCTAGAAGTGAAAAGAACGTGAATTACATAGGAAAAACAAATTCTAGAATAATTCTAGAAAATGAAATTAAAGGGAGAGACCAGATATAACTCAAAGAGTCAACTTACCAGCATATTTTGTAGTGTTAGATTCATCCATGGACCAAAAGCAATAATCAAAGGCAAATACCTGAATGGAAGAACAAAATATTAAAACTTAATCCATTCCTTATGAGTAAATGAGGCTTAAAAAAACTCAGTGAAGATGAGAAGAATGTTCAAGAAGATCTGATGAACAGACTGCAATTATTTTGATGCTCTTAACCCTTAAGTGTTGTTTGTTTTTTAACTAAACACATCCTAGGGTAGAATGAATTCATATGAAATTACTGTTTATCTAGAATCCAAATAGGCAAGCATCTTAACCATTTAAAATACACTTGACGAGAAAACAACAACAACAACAACACTTTTTCTAGCAAAGTCACTAGTGTCCAGAGAAACCTTTTGGCTCAAGTTAAGAGTAAAATGATAATCTTTGATTTATATTAATTACCTCTCCTAGCTTTCCACACTCTTGTTTCTAGTACAGCAAAGCTCAAAACTCTCCACATTCCTAATCTTGGCTTCCTTTCCCCTTCGGCTTCAACATGCATTATCCAGCCAATTCCTATTAATAAATCAATAATATCCTCTTGTAGACATGAGCTTTCTGCACAGTTACCGAGTGCCAACCATCTATGAGGGAAGTCGATGCTTCCTCCCACAAAACTGATCCTACCACTGTTTCCACGCAGTACCACTGTGTTCCAGCCATTAGTATCCAATACAAAGCAATGCTGCCCAAAGAAGTTTCCTGAGATAGCCCATGAAAAACAGGATGAAGTCCTGTGGGAGAAGGTACACTTTACCCTACTTGAGTGTCAAGGCAATTCTCAGTATTAAATAACTCTGAAAAGTCTTCCAGTGAAGAAACCCATGCAACTGCTTGTTTTTTATTTTAATTTCTCCACTGAATTTTTGGTGAGGAATCGCCTTTTGGGGGAACTAATACCAACATGCCTTGGAACTAGTGTTTCTTCTCAGTATAGCTCTTAGAAAACTCTGGTCCAGGTGACTCTCCCCTGAACTCTCTGCTAGAGCCTTTTTTCTCCTGCAGTCCAAACATGTGTAGGAATCCTTCAATGCTTCATCATTTCGAAGAGACCTTTAGCACTGAATAAATAAAATCCATGCTCTCTGGCTTATTTGAGATTGAACACCATAATGGCTTTCTAGATTATCGCCCCCCAAGTTCCTGTGGCTACAGTGGAATCTGTTCTTCCCTTGGAGTTACTGGATTCCATTCTCTTTTCCACTGCTACGCTTCAAAATGCCTCATACTTCTTAAGACCAGTTCAATGCATTTTTTTTTTGTTGTTCAGGAAGTATCCCTTGGTTAAATCCAAAGGATGTTGTCCCTTCTCTGAAATATCTCAACACTGTTTTATCCTTTCATGGATCCTATTCCTATTACTCTATTTCCATTAATCCCTATAAGATCTCTGCATGTTTTCTTGGTTACTGTGTTTATGGAGGGGGAGGATGGGGTTGGTGCTAGTTGTATCAGTCCTGGGGAGCTTGAACTCAGGACCTGATCTGCTGTCTCTAAGTTTTTGTTTTGTTTTGCTTAAGGCTAGCGCTCTACCACTTGAGCTACATCTCCACTTCCAGCTTTTTGTTGGTTAATTGGAAAGATATGAGTGTCATGAACTTTCCTGCCTGGGCTGGCTTTGAGCTAAGATCCTCAGATCTTAACTTACTGCACAGCTACAGTACAAGCATGAGCCACCAGTGCCCAGCTGACCTGTGCAGGTTTTAATCTCCCCTTGAACCTTAAACCTCCCCTTAAAAACTCTTGAAGGCAAGAACCAGGTCTAATTCATTTTTTTTGTTTTTTATAAACATTGTATTATCTTTAGTGGTTTAAATTCAACGTGTCAGTTTATAACACATTTTGACCAATGTCACCCTTCCATTATTCTTCCCTATCTCTCCCATCCATCCATCTCCTCAAGTTACCCAATTCCATTTTCACATATGTTCACTGGATGTTAACATTGCATTCCTGTAACTTTCCTCTTTCCATTCATCTACCCTCCCACCCTGGACCTTCCCCTGCCCCCCCCCCCACATACAATAACATGTTTCTGGTAGTCATTTTGTTAAGTTGTAAGCAAATTCATCTTTGAAGCCTGAAATGTTCCTATCAGTTGCTTTAAAATTATTTATTGAGTGATTAATTTGAAATTCTGTAAAGAAACAAGTGTTTTTTTATTTTTAACCTAAAAAAAATGCTATACTCTGTTTCATCACCGCAAAGATATTATTTTAGTGCATTTACAACTGAGGCAAGTATATACAATAAGCCCAGTTTACATCAAACCCACATCGGAATTCAAGTGTGATGCATATGTACACATACATACATAGATACATGTTCACTCTAATTTTATAACTAATTTTCAAATGAACAGCCATGAAAAAGTTTCTGTCAACACAGTGTGGAATATTTACTGCATCCGAGAACTCTTCAAAACTCAAGAGACCACAAAGGCACAATACAGTTAATATAATACTGCTGCCTCTGAGAAGGCTGAACTTCAACTCTTTTCCCAAGAGATATAGATTTGTCTTGTTTTTAAACATTTCCAGAAAAGGAGATACTAAAACTTTCGTTCTGTGAGACAACATTTAGCTTTCATTCCTAGGACATTTTCCTGTTTTCCCCAGCTCAGTCAACTCTTCTTTAAGTAGCCAACAGAGGCTATTTCCCAATTTTGAATTATCTTTATTATTGCCCTATGGGAAACCAATAGATTCCTTTAGTAGTTCCTGACAGAGTAAAATAATCATTTATTTTTAATATGTTTTCATGCTTACTTCAAATTATTTGTTTTATTTCTTTCTAAATGATACTGTGGCTTGACCTCAAGGCTACCTGCTTTCATATGGCTTTTGCACTCACAGCTAGCATGCTCTCTACCAGCGTGTGTGTGTGTGTGTGTGTGTGTGTATGACTTTTGCACTCACAGCTAGCATTCTCTCTACCTGTGTGTGTGTGTGTGTGTGTGTGTGTGTGTGTGTATGACTTTTGCACTCACAGCTAGCATTCTCTCTACCAGTGTGTGTGTGTGTGTGTGTGTGTGTGTGTGTGTGTGTGTGCGCGCGCGCGCGCTCTTAATACCAGGGCTTAAACTCAGGGCCTGAGTGCTGTCCCTTACTGTTCTCACTCAAGGCACTCTACCACTTGAGCCACGGCTCTACTTCCAACTTTTTGATAATTCATGGAAATCATTCTAACGGACTTTCTTGTCTGTGCTGGCTTCAAACCTTAATCTTCAGATCTCAGCCCTCTGAGTAGCTCGGATTATAGGCATGAGTCAACAGAGCCCAGCCAGTCTGACATTTTACTGGTTAATTGAAGCCAGCATCTCCTGGACTTTTCTGCATAGGTTAATAACTTCAAACCTCAATCTTCAGATCTCAGCTTCTTGAGTAGATAGGATCATAGGTGTAAGTGACCTGCGCCTGGCCCAAACTTATTTTTAATAGTTTGCTAATCTGTATACTAAAGGTTTAGAAAACTATTAACTGGCCTTCATAGGAATGATACTTAAAAAATAAAATCCACCTAAAACTGTGAGAATCTGTTAAGAATCAATCCCAAATTCTGTGACAATTTCCATTGCCAACAAAATGCTAGCTGTTTAAAGTTGTTTCTGTTGATAGTAATAATAAAAAAGATAAAAAAGAATTTTAACTTTAGGTATTTGCCCCTAAAATTTCCTGGAGAAAAAAAAATTTTTTCTGGCCAAAGGAATTTCAGGCTGGTGATTCCTCAAAACAGTCACGGCGTCCATATTATTACTTTAACTATTAGGAAGAACTGAAACTCAGAAATCCTAGGCTCTTTTGTGTGGGTCTAATTTTTAACTCTAGCTAGTAAGTACCTTGGTGACAGGAACTGGGTTTTATGCATCTTATTGTGAGTGGTCAGTATGGTCCAGAGCAGCCACTGCAGATAATATTTTTTTAAATGTCAACTGAAATGAGCCTGAAATGAATGTGAGTACTATAACAAATAAGCAGTTCAAGCTGTTTCATTTCTGTCAGATGCATGCTTTGGGGGAAGATGGTTCCTTGAATGGACCAAATTTGGTGGCTAGATGGGCACTTTTAGCCCTTTAGCACTCCATTATTCCATTATTTTAATGGATGAGCAAGTAAGTCACATCATGTACAATTTGGAGTTCACACAGATTTACAACAAATTACTTACTTGACTACTACTAGAAAACCTGTTGTGACTGGTATTAAGGAATCCTAAGGATGCTTAAAATAGTTTATTTAATCATTTTCATGTAACCTTATTTTTTTTTCTTTGTCTTGGGATTTGTAGGATGTGTGCTTGCTAAGCAAGTGCTCTACCAATGGAGCCACTCCACCAACCAGCATCATTTTCTGCCATCTTGCAAATTATTACTGTTATCCTTGACCAAAATTTATAATTGAATAACACAAGGATTGTTACATAAAGAGAGATGAGTTTGTTGTTTTTTTTTAAAAAAACAAAGTGTTCTGATTTTCCAGTACAAAGTCCATTGACATTTAACAAGAAATCAAAACATTTCCTGGAATTACTCCTTCACTGATCACTTCAAACAAAATGAACAGCCTTTTTCCCCCCTAGACCACCATGTTATATGAAAGAATCATGTTATTTTAAGACGTTAGCTCATTTTGTCAGAATTCCTCAATACCTATTTCATTATTCACGATGATGTCACTAGGATATTAAACTATAGTGTGGAAGATGGAAGACTTCTTCACATACTCAACTAAGAAAAATAAAAATAAAAATGGGAACCACGTGACTTTTTTATTTAATCAGATCCACCAAACGTTGTGGGGGCATTTTTCACCAAGACATTCCTACCTTTCCAACTAGAAAGGAAGCCAAAAAGTCCAGACATTCTCCAACAATTCTTAAAGTCTGAAAGCCATTGTTTTCACTGCCTTCAACTCCACCTTCTCTGAATTCCCACTCCTTCCTGTTACTCCCAGCTTGTAAAACTCATCCCAGGATTTAATTCCCTGCAGCTTTTGCTCTACCGCGTCTCTAATTCCGTCAGTCTCTTAAAAACGTTA